GTGCCTGAAGGTTAGCATTATTTGAAAATTAAAATTTATCATACAATATGATATAAATAGTATATTATTTTTTTATTATTATTATTATTATTATATTCACTATTGTGATTCATAATTATGGAAGTTTTCATGTTATATACATATATATATATATATATATACTTGTTCAATTATCTTTTGACAATTAATATCACGATGACATTTTGGTTCTTCTATCAATTCGGGTGTTACATAAACTTGGTATCCAACTTCTGGACGCGCATCTTTAAGTTTTGTCTTTTTGGGGGTTTCAATTAATACTACACTACTACTAATAATACTAAACACTATAATCATAAGGCTGATCAAAATAATCTTCAAGTAAATCCTAAAACAAATTTGAATAGAATAGAATAAATCGATTAATGGTTGATTTGTTGAGTGGACAGTGAGAGTATATTCAATCATCATGCTTACTAAAAACCTGGAATTATCATCTTCCGTCACACGAGGATCTTTAATCAATAAGGCACCATAATCTTTTAATGCTTTTGCTGTCTATTAGATACATGTACACATGCAAAGTTTACTTTCGATTCACGGTTTTCTTAAAAGTAAAAATTATATATATATAAAAAGGAAAGAAAGTGTAAACGATTTCTATTAACTTTATGACATTCTTCAATTGCCAGTTCAGAATTCTTATCATTCAAGTATAAACCAAGATCAATAATTGGAAGACTACAAGTTATTGTTGACATTTATTATTTTTTGGTTTATTTTGTTGTTGTTGTTGATTATTAGTTTATTGTTTTTTGTTATTATATTCTTTAAGAAAACCACTACAAAGAGTTGAAAAAAATTGAGACTATTGAAGTTGATAGATTGGTTGTGATAAGGATACTTGTTATAATTAAAAAAACTGGCTACAATTAGGTTGTAGAATATTTGTAAGTTTAATAATCAGGTGGTATAAACAAACAAACAGCATTTGGGTGGGTTGTATATAGTATTTTATTCTTAAAAAATATCACAATTAATGTTTACGTCAAAATCAAGATTTAGCAAATTATCCGAATTAGCCACGTGCGCAAACTTTAAATTCCAAATTCACGCACTGCGCCTCTACGTGATGCCTTGGATAGTCCAGCCAAATTGAAGGAGTTGACTAATTCAACATAAAATTTTTGGAGAGCATCTAGATTTTACTCCTCCACATACCTTGATTGCAAGGCCTAGAACATGTGCCAAATTAGCAACAGTTTAAGATTAAAACTATATATTAATATGTCTGATACCAGGAGCTATACTCCAATTGTTTTATTTTATTTAATGATGCTTGATCTGGGATTGATAATCACAATATGATGGATGATTTGTTGTTTATGGATTTTGCTTTAAACCAAAGATTAATCAAGGCTCTGAACAAACCCACTAAATTCGAACTGAATATATACTAACTATATAATACATATTAATATGAATGAATCGTGATAAATCTTTTAAGCACATTGCTATTTATTTTGGTAAAATTGCCAAAAGAAAGTCGACCTTTGATTTCAGAAAGACCTGATCCAAAATGGAGATTTTTTTGGAGAATTGGTGAGCTTCCTGAACAAAAAAAGTTTCCACAACTTAATTCTGATCCTGTTGTGCCTGAAGGTTAGCATTATTTGAAAATTAAAATTTATCATACAATATGATATAAATAGTATATTATTTTTTTATTTATGATAGCTCCCAAGGATATGTGGTCAACAATCATAAGTCAATATGGCAAACAATTACACCAAGCTGTTGTATATCTGGTGGAAATGACATCTGTTGGATTTGGAATGCCTGCAAATTATTTACCAGATCTTACAAAAAAAGGACCACATCTTTTAGCACCTACTGGAAGTGATTTAAACAAATATGGAAAACTTGGAACCATATTAGCTGGTGAATTGGCAAAATAATTTTTCTGGTGTATAGTTTTTTTTTTCTAAAAAAAAATTATATTGAATACAATATTTTACACCTTATAGAATTTAGGATTTCATTATGATTTAAATTTTATGTTATCAGATACATACTAATCATCATTATTTGAAATTAGAAAATATATATTATTTGTATTATTGTATTGAAACAAAAATTTTAATTAAACAAAGTCATGTAATTATAATTAGCATTCTTTATATTTAACATAAACAGATTTTCTTACTATAATATATATTTTGAAACCAAAAAGCCTTCACATCATTTCCATATATTTTTTACAATACCAACCAACCAATTTTATTAAATTCATTTACATTGCCAATTTTCCCCACCCACAAATTTCTGGTACCACAACTCTTTTACCTTTAAATTCCACAATACCCCTAATCAATTTACGTCCTGCGACCTGTGCAACAGGTTTTGCTACAGGATTACCGGCCAATGCATCACGTTCTTTCTGGTCACCATATTTTAATTCCTTAATTCTCCCTTCACAAAGTGGACACTTATATCCTGCGCTAGGATTTTCTTGCAATTCCTCATATCTATTTGGAGTGATCTCAAGATCACATCTTACATGTATCCATCGATCACACTCATCACAACATACCATATCACGATCTTCATCTTCATTTTCTTCCATTGCTCCTTCTTCGGAGAATGTTTTCAAACACATTGGACAAAACCTGTCTGCCTTGAAGTTTAAACTACATTTGTTACATATTGTAGCTAAATAAATTGGATAGTTTGAACTTGGTTGGCCTGACGTTGCTTCAAGATGAAGGTAATCCTTTGCTGCATTATCCAACAATTTGGCCTTTTCACCACATGAATTGCATTGTGCGCAAATTGAGCATAACCATGGACCTAATTATTTCAATGTAAATAAATAAATAAGCAAACAAACATAAATATTAATAAAAAAATACAATTATATTAATATAATAATTAATAGCAGTAGTAGTAACAATAAATAATTAACCACCTTGGGGAACTTCATTAACTTTTGGTTCACTACAATTAATATGCCAACCGCGATCACAATCATCACAAATTAGTAAAGTAGCTTCATCACCTGATGTTCGACACACAACACAGGTTTTACAATCATTACATTGCCATGGGTAACTTTCCATTGCAACAATTAGTCTAGTGGTAGTAAGTCCTAAACATAAAGGGTGATAATTACGATTACAGTGAGATGGCGCATCATTAATTGGAATTGTATTATCAGGTGAAGTTGTTGAAAAACACATTGCACATACATTCTCTGGAAGTTGTGGGATTGATTGTGATGCTAATACTGACGTGGCTGCTATTGTTGATGTGTCTGCTATTGTTGATATGTCTGCTATTGTTGATATAGCTGGTGTTTCTGGTGTTTCTGGTGCTGTTATTGTTGGCGATGATAATGTAAAATTAGTTTTAGATAATGGAAATTGCACAGATGGTGATTTTTGTAATAAACTTGTATTTGAATTTAACTCATTAAAATTTTTTGTTAAAGCTTCAGGAATTTCATGGCCAAAACGTGTTCGGTGCCTAATTCAAAATTTATATTTTAATTAGTTTAAATATATACACATAATTATTTTCTCAAGATTAATAGGATAAACGCAAACAAAAAATTTTAAAATAAAAAATTTTTTTTCATTTAATTTACTTACAATGGATACGATGATTGAAATTGATGATCCATCAATGCAATAGGATATTTATCTTGTTCATCATCAATACAATCATCAATACAATCATCTTTAATATTTTTATTCATATCATCAATAATTTTACAAATCTCAGGTGGCACTACTTCTAAAATCTCTGGGCTTAAATTTTTTAAAGGATTAAAAGGTGTTGGTTCAAATTTAATTTTAGGAATTTTTGGAGAATGATTACTATTTAGTGGTAAAAATACAGGTTTTGAAATTGTTTCCACTTTGATTCGAGTTGGCTGTGTCGCTTGTGGGACTAGTTCAGTATTGATATGAGCATCATAAAATTTAGGTTTATCTTTACGGTGAATTTTCAATCTAGTATTATAATCTCTGGCATGAAGTGCTGATTGATACATCCACGAAGCCTCATTTGCAAGATTTCGTGGTTTTGTTATTTTATTGTTAAATTTTTTTGATAGGATATTGTTTGCATTTTCAGTTTCTGAATCATTTCCTTTATCACTTAAATCATCATCATATCTCAAATTTGACTCAAAATAATCATCTTTTTTTCTTTTTCCATTATGAATTACTCTAGAACCAAATAATCTGTATGTAGATCTAGCTGACACCAAAGTAATATTCCTACTGCGATATGCAGCAGGTAAGATTCCTATTTTGATCAAGAATTCTCTTTCTTCTTCGGTAGCAAAAACTCGTTGTAATGATGGATTTCTTAAGAAAAATAAATAACTATCACGAAAACCCAAAACCTTTGCTGCATCCATTGATAACATATACCATGTATTATCACTAGGTAATTGAAAAACTGGCACTTTAAATTTTCTACCTATATAATAATAACTATTATTGTTATTATTATTATTATTATTATTTGTAATTAAATAAAAAGCTATAATGACAATAAAAAATTTTTACCTCCTAATAAAATTCCATCTTTGGTGATCTTTTTCTCTCCTTTCTCATCAAGTATTTTGTCATAATTTAATTGATTTATACTATTCATTCCATTGGTTGTTGTTGAACCTTCGCCTTGAGTGTATTCAAATCTTTTTGGATCATTGTTAATGGCCTTTTTTTGTTTTGAAGGATCTTGTGGTGCATATTTGCGTGGTCTGCCTGGCCTTCTTTTTACAGGTTGTTGTAACACTTGGTCCTGATCTAGTTTCTGATCTTGATCTTCTTTATGATCCGATTGTTGTTTCTGATCTTGATCTTCCTGAACTGATTGTTGTTTTTGATCTTGATCTTCTTTCTGAACTGATTGCTCTAACTGTTCTTCTTGTGATTGTTCATTTTTTTCTTTATGTTTAAGTTGTTCTTCTTGTTCTTCTTTTTGTATTTTTTGAGGTAATGTCGTTGCTGTTTGCGGAGATGGTGTTTTTGATTGTTTTCTTTTTGGTGATGTAGGCGTTTGTGAAGGTGAATTCTCCGATTTTGAAGAAGTATCTGTTTTGATGCGAGGTTTAATCGTTTTTTGTTTTTTATTGTTCATTATTGAATGGTACGTTTTACTTATATAGATAGTAGTAGCACTATTATATTTTACAGTTTAGTTCGCAGATCATTTATCAATGAGGAAGTTTTTATATGGATGCACATGTAAGGCATACTATATTTAATGTATTAAAAAAGAAATAAAACTTATTTTATTTTATTTTGATCTTGTGAAAAGTGATTATTATTGTTTATAACAGAACTATATATACACGTATTATTCCAAATATTTGACCAAAATTTTTAATAATCAAATTGCTGATTAGTTACGATTTTAACATGGTAATGGCATCAAATCAATATATATCTTTTAAAATTAAATTAGGTAATAATAATATAATATTCAATTTCTTTTTTTATAATTTTCATTCACCATCATTATTTTTCTTTTTATACTATTTTCATTTTCAAATGTGAGAAGAGAAATATCAAAAGTAAATAAATATATTAGTATACACCATATTAAAAGTCTAAAATATATTATTTTACTTTTCTTTTCACATAAAGGCTCAGTCGTTCATTATAAAATTCATTTGAGAGCCTCACATTCAACGAGCTTATGATTGGCACCAATACATTATATTTGAAGTTATACTCTGACCGGACTATTCCGAAATTATATGTAATGAGCCATCCTTGTTTCTCACGAATTACACCCAGTGTTTTAAAACAATTACCCCTGGGTCATGTAAGCTCTCCCCCCTACCAGGAGGGCCCACCAGGGCTTATATGTTACCCAGGAATAATTAATTATTATTCATTTACGGATACGTTTTACCCTGAATGCATCCATTCTGTATTAGTATTAGTGTCGGAGGGCATAGATTTATTTGTTGAATAAATGAATTAAATTTAAGGACAAAGGCCATATGATCGGCATGGTTCATATGGGAAGGTTTCATAAATTTTACACTTCTTTGGATAGTAAGTCTTGAAGGTTTAGTTATGTACTTTAAAAAACTTTGACATATGTAAGCATGTTGCATTGGCCCCTATTACAATCCTTAAAAATCCAGTTTGTTTTTGAATTAATGCTTACTATTATCCGATCACGTGAGAGAAAGCTTTACATGTCCATTATTATTATATATTCTCCCAAATTTTATTGTTAATCTTAGGAATTGATTCAAAACATATTTGTTGAAGTCCATGGTATGTGTGATTAAAATATATACGAAAAGTAAAAATTCCATATACCTTTTTTAGTTCAAGTAAATTCAATATCAAATTTTATAATTAAAGCTAAAAAAATATAGCAAGTTAATAAAAATAAAAAAATGTGTGTGTATATATATATATATATATATGGAAACTGGTGATTGAATATTAATATAAATTGTAAAATTTCTGAACCAAGATAAAATTGGACCAACATCATCTAATACACTTTCTTCTTCATTAAATCAAACTACCCAATTTCTCAACTACTATTGCGACAACACATTCCTCATTTTGTTCTTCCTCCTCCTACTACTACTATTTCAACTGCTACCTCAGCAACAAATGCATCCATCATTGCCTCCTCCAATAACAACACCAACGCATCTATGTTGTTGCCGTCATCTTTAAAAGTTCCTAATCGTCTAATAACCCCTGAATCCTCTGATTCTGAATTTGATATATCAGAATTAGATAACCTCAACACTCATTTAACCCTCCCTCCTTCATTTGGTAAAAGAAACAATAGTGTCAGCAACGACAACATTAATCACCGTGTTGCCCGTCATAGTTCTGCTGAACTATATAATGGTAATAATCATCTTTATAATAATAATAAACGTAATAATATTTATCATGATTATAATAATAATTATCGTTCAGCAATGGAAGGTGTCATAATCGAAGAAGAAAGAGGTGGATTACTTGACATAATTGAAAATAATAACGACCTACAAAATCAACATCATCATCAAAATAATAATTATCATAATTCAATTATGAAAAGATCAACAACAACTGTAGCTACAGCTGCCAGCACTATACCATCATCATCGTCATCATCGTCATCATCAGCTTCATTAATAAATCTTAAAAAACATATATTATTACAACAGCAACAAAACCCTCAAAGACCCACCAACCAAAATGATGATTTGTACTCAATAAATGAAGGGATTGATGATAACAGCAGCATAATGTCAAATGAATCTTTATTAGAAGAATTAAGATCAAGAGTTCAAAGACTTGAAGAAGATGCAATTAATGGTAGTAATGGAAATAATAATGAAAAAAGAAGACAAAAAAGAAATAATAATAATCAACAAAATAATGATCCATTAATGTCCCCAACTGGTTTATCACCGGATAGTTCACAAGCTGGTTCAAGTAATTTTACAACAGCATCAACGAATATTTCAAGAAATTCTTCAATGTCAACAAATAATATAGTTAAACATCAAAAACATTTACAGAATGCTTTTGAAGTTTTTGAAAAAAGTTTTAGTGCTTCTGCTGCTGATCAAAAACAACATGATATTACACCCCCACCTTCTCATACTATGGCTATGGTAGTTTCATCTGCTTTACTAATAAATCAAAAACTACGTTCAACAATGAACCAATTGGATGTTGATTATCAACAACAGCAACAGCAACCATCACAACAACAACCATTACGATCTACTGAAAAATCTTTAAAATCTTTAATAAAAACTAGTGATGAACAAATTCGTAGTTTAACTGAATGCTTGTTAGCTTTGTCACCTCCAAAAAAAATAGTTTCTTCTTCCTCCAAAAGAATATCATCTTCATCATTGGAAAATAATAATAATAATAAAGATTACTTACAAATGCCAACTCCACATTCAATACGTTCCATTTCTCCTATACAACGTGTGACTTCTGCTCCTATAATCCCCCCCCCTCATTCTCTACTGAATAATCCTGATATTTCACAACAACAACTATTATTACAACAATTACAATTGCAACAATTACAACAATTGCAACAACTACAACAAAATCAATCATCATCATATCAACAACCATCATCACATTATCAAAGTAATAATGGTAATGAGATGGATCATTCAATATCAACAGCACGTCGTATCTTATCTAATCCATCATCACCAGGTTTACCACCACAACATCAACAAGATGCGGTTGATCAACCACTATCACTTAATCCTTATTCAACTGCATCACCAACAGCAACATCAACATCTTCACGATTATTAGATTATAAAGAACGTCGTTCACGTCGTTTTTCTAGTGGTAATTATGGTGCTTCAACATATTTTAGTACCGGTGGCGCCGCTAATATTCACCAATATCTTCGTAATAATAATGATAACAACAACAACAACAATCTATTTCCTTTGGTACATTCCAATCTTTCTTCGCAATCTCAACAAGCGTCATGTGAATTGCCACGTTTAAATCAAAGATATAGTAGTAATCACAACAATAATTATATATCGAGATATAATAATATTAATAACATTAATAATAGTAATGCTAATTCTGCTGCTACTAATTCTAATAATATTGATGATATTGATACTGCTAGTGATGATGTTAACGATACTGTTGATACCACATCTATAAATGATAACAATGTTGATAACACTGCTATCAATACAAATAATAGTGATGTCACAACTGAAATTGACACACCAAATAACATTAATATCAGTAATGATACAAATCAAAAAATACATCATCATCAAAGGACAAAATCACGACCGTTGTCACATATTCGTAATAATGAAGACCCAATACTATCGCATTCACGTAACAGTTCCATATCATCGCTTTATCGTTCAACTTCCGGTCGATCAACTTATAATAACAATAATAATAATAATAAGCACGTCATCAGTGATGAATATGTTAATTCCCCTGTTAATGTGTCGAGGCAATCATCAAAAGTTTACGAATTTTTAAGAAGATGTCCAAATGAAAGGGATCAAACATAACAAAAAAATTATTTATTTCATTATTTATTATTTATTGTTTTATTATTTGATTTTTTAAATGTATTATATTAATATAGTTAGTTTTCTTTCTTTATATATAAATTCATATCAATTTATTTATTTTATTTATCATTTCAAAAAAAAAAAAATATATATATATATAATTTATTCAGTTTTAAATGTACATTAACTAGTCCGTATTTGGAAACGCCACAATTGTATATTTACAAGTATATATGTGACTATAATACGCCACACTCATTTTTGAATTATTATTATGTTACATCCATCATTACACATAACATACGTAATAATGACGAAATTTAGTTGTCATGGCAAAATCAAGAGTATTACCTCAAATGAAAAAGAAAATATATTATGTGTTAACCAGTGTTGGAAATTCGTCGATCTTATGATCTGCAAAAAAAAATTTGTGCACATATGAACACAAGAAATTTTTATTT